GGCGAGCTACCTCGGAGCGGCTCGTGAGAGTTGCTTTGTCGTCGCCGATCGGATGGGAATGTGGAGTAATGCTGCGCGCAAATGTACAGTTTCGATGTTTGGGATTTCTTAGATTTGAAATTTTGAAACTTTGAAATTCTGAAATTTTAAATATTTGAACGTTTGGAACTTTGAAACTCTGAAATTTGAACATTTGAACGTTTGGAAATTTGAAACTTTGAAATTTGAACATTTGAACGTTTGGAAATTTGAAACTTTGAAACTTTGAAACTTTGAAATTTAAAAAATTTGAACCCTTGAACCTTTGAAACTTTGAAACTTTGAAACTTCGAAATTCTGAAATTTAAAAAATTTGAACACTTGAAGCTTTGAGACTTGGAAAATTTCGGAAATTGATAGGTACCAATTGTTTCATCGTCGCAACGACGAGACACTCCACCCCGACTGCTCTAATGGATTGGATACGTGGCTATATGGGAACATAGCTTGCGCATGCATTAAAGAATTAATTTAGCGACACGTAATACAACAGTGCGGGCTAAATTGCACTCGGGCAGAAGTTGATTGGAGCGGCCGCAACCACTCGTTATTCTCCAAAAAGAGGTTAAGGATCTAGAGCGGGGTTTTCCATTCCCACACCAGTTGTATTTCCAGCGGTACTCGAGTCCGCGCGAATGATTTCAATTTCGAATGCTGCACGAACGAAAGCTTGAATACCCATTGTCGCTGTTGTTTAATGCAAAGCTTGCCTATGTTTGGTCATTAAATGTACATAGCTGAGTCACCCCCTATATAGAAAACCGTTCGGACGCGTAATCGCGCCTAAGGCAGGGTCCTCCTGGAAAACTCTCGTCGGTGAGTCACGCGACGTGCGGGGACAAAACACCTGTTCCTCGAAAAAGGAAGGAATTGTTTCCTTATAGAACAATCGAGCATTGTAGCTGCTCGATTCATCGTTTACCTTTTATTCGGCCGCGCGTGCTACATATTGAGAGGCTGCTGGACTGTACAACTTCTACGAATCCTTCGACTCCTTCGGGAGTCACCGTTTTCAGCGCCTTTACATGCTCCTCGTCATTTAATTAACGTTCCTTTCTACTTTATAAAGTTAACTGCAATTGCAACTAATTTTTATAGTATCCCTAGCGAAAATGAAAAATGCTATAACATTCCTTAGATCCTTTATTTCCCTTCTTAGTGCAAAATTTTGATGCGTGAAAAATCTAATACTTGTAGGGTAGTTTCTTTACAGAGTTCAAAGGGTTAAAGTTACCTATAAAAGACACCAAAGAGTCTAAACCATCAATAAATCATAGAAACATCTGTAAATCAAAAAGTACTTTGAACAATCAAAGTAAACAGGTTTAATTTCAAAGATTAAAATTCTTTAATTGTCCAGATTACTGCCTAGATTACTACTGATTTTAATTACTCGAATATCTCTGCGTTGCTACATGCTTGAAAAACGAGAGATTTATGCTTGAATATTGCAATAAGTAACAGATATCGAACGAAAGCATTTTGGCTGCCAACGCAACCGTGATAAAGAAAAATCCTATAGCTGCTCCTCCGTACTCGCGCTCTCGGTTATTCCGTAACGGAGCAATTTACGTTAACGGTCCCGTCCGTGCCGTTTCTTCGTCGGAGGAACAGTTAGAACAGGTATCGATTTAATCGCGACAGAACCGTGGCTGGTGTTTCAAACGGAACAACCGCGGATCAACGTCGAGGCTTCTTTCAATCGCGAGATAAGATACTCGCTTCCTAAGCGAGGACAAACAATAAACATTATCGTATCGGTTTCACGAATTCCCGGTATCCATATGTAGGCCCGAGGAAGATAAACGCGGATAGAACACTTGTGTACAAGCGGTTCTGAAACGCGACACCTGTAAGCTCGAATTCCGTGAGAACTAACACGATTACCGATCAAAGTAAATATTATCATTCGGAATCGTCCATTCGGATATCGAAATACAAATCGCAATCGCTTAATGTCGCGTCGGTACAAATTAAGGAAACACTAATACTCGACACTAATCACTATAAAACAGAAGTGCCCCATTTTGTTTGTAGCATCGTTCAATATTCGTCCACTTTAATCGCAGCCAGCTTCTAATTAAGGGAAATCATCTAATTAGCGAAAAAGCCTCGCGCTCCCGAGGGAATCGATGAGATCCTAGAGCTTCTTACGTCCGCGCGCTCGAGTACTCGAGATTCTGCAAATTCGCGGGATCGAGCGCATCCTAATTGAACCTTTCAAGGTAGCGGGGCCTTGGACGAAGAGGCGAGCGAATTTAATCGCGAGCACGTAGCCCGCGGTGGACGAAATTCAAGGAAAAAGCGGACCGTGGGCGGGGGATCGATCGTGGCTCGTAGTAAATCGCGCCAGCCGCGCCGATACCGGCCGGCACACCGAGTGTATCGACCGTTTTCATTCATCCATATTCGCTTGAACGGTACGGCTGCGCCTGGCGCGCGGGGATTCGTTCCAAGTGTTACGAAATCGAATCGTTTGTCGCGTGAAAGGTCCTGCACCGGACGCGATCGGCGATCAAGCTTATCGCGTTGTAAACAGGTGAAACTGAAGTGCGTTTTACCAGAGGTCGATCCGAATCTGAATTCCAAACTCTTGAAACTCGAATCTGAAGGTCTGTAAGGTTCCGGATCTCGGAAGTCTCGAAACCTCGAGTGTTGATCTCATTTGGTACGAGGAATACCGCGCTCTAACCACTTAACTACTGAATTTTCTCGGAAAGCAGTCTTATTCTCGAGCATCGAATCAAGAATTAATCTTGCCCCAATTTCCTTATAACAGGAAATCCTCACTTTACAGAAAAATGAATTCGTTTAATGTTAAAGTAATTAACAACGTTTAATATTGCTTCTCGCGAATTCTTGGGACGAAGGTGTTCGCGTAAATCGAAGGGAACAAGGGCTTAAGGAAATCGTTTCGATTCGATGGGATTTCGACGAGTTGGAAAGCTACCTTGCAACAGTTAATCGTGTTAATAGCCGGTTGATAGATTCGGTCCTTTTCCCCGTGTACCCCGTGACTCAGTGGAGCGCGTCGGTGTCCGCGGTTTCCGCAGCCTTCAACGAGAGAAATGCCAGAAATAAGATCCGCTGACCGCGCGGCGGGATAAACACACGCACACACCGGCGAATCTGGGCCAAGCCGTTTATATCGTTGGAATGCGTTGTCGCCGCGGATGCGACGCGAAGATACCGGTCGCGGGTCTAGTGGAAGATCCGCCGCGCAGCGCGGATGGCAACGCCATTATGTCATAACTCGTAACTCGCAAACCGCGGAACTCTTTTGGCATTAGCCTGGCAACCGGCTCCGCCGGACCAGTTGCGTCAACCGTGGCGAACGCGACGTGTTTTCGCGAGACACGTTCCCTCGCGCCAAAACCAGTTCCGTGCGCCACCGGCCATTGTTACGCTGAACGCGCGCGACATTTAAATCCCTCCGCTATCCTATGTTTCTTCAAGCTTCAATCTCCGATTCTAGAAATCCGCCATACGATTCAATTCATTGATTATACATCGTTTTTGGTATAAAGAACATCGTTCGAGGTATAAAATGATTAACTGAGAAACGTTGAGATTGTCTTCTACAAAACGTAAAATCACGTGGAACTACTTACTTTAAGCCTACGGTACTGAGCAATGAAACACTTGGAAGCGCCTGCTGATTCACTGTAATAAATTGTACTTCCCTGAGCTGAATCCGTTGAATATTCTCAAACACAGCGGGCTATCGTTCCCGTAAGCGCGAATCGAAAAGCATTGACACGCGCAAAGTGGTGCAGTTGCGCCGGCCACTGCGGTGCAGGCACCATAACCAGAGAAAATGAATGTTTTCCTCGAGGTACCCGTGCCTAAGTGTCCCTGTTCTTCCCGTGCCGCAAAGCGGGCGAGCCTAAACCTCGAATCCGAATGTACCGTTCCGCCGGTTACTCCGCGATATTAACCTATCGATTCAGCTATCCCCGTGGTTCGGTCAATTCCATTTTCTGCGACCCAATAATATTCGCGCGGGTACTCTATAAAATTGAAACGACTAATGGGCGGCCGCAGAAGAGTCGCTAGCCAGATCCTATCGGATTACCGATAACCCAGGCCGACTGCGTTTTCATTCGCTGTCGAACGACCGTCTATTTTCATCGCGGTGTCCGGACGACGCAACGGCCGTTCCGATTTTCAATGAAAAGCCGACGGAAGAAAGTGGCCGTCCAATGAGATACGTGACTTCCGATACCCGCGGTTCGCTGGCGGAGCGCGTACGCGTTACCGTTTATTATTTTTCCTTTGATTCGTTCGAACGACTCCGCTGCAGATTACCAGGGGGAATAAAACGAAAGGAAATCGGCCGATACTCTCGTATAGTGGGACAAGGTTCTTACGTCGTTTATCGTGTTTATGGAATTTTGTTTGGTGTCATTATTTGAAGAGCGAGGATGATGATTATCGATAATAATGAAGGTTCCCCTGGCAAATGAAAATAATGATTGTTGAACGCCGTAGCGTGTGCGAGAGGAACGACGGCACAAGAAACGATAAGAGAAGATCGCGTTAGCACTGCACTCGAGCTGAGTTTTTACAATTTTTCAGTAGAAACTTGTTTCTTAGAAACTTTAATCGACTTATAATTCGGTTCGACGTATGTATTTCGTGTAATTTCGTAGTTTCAGCTCATAAATGCTCGATTAGATTAGAATGTTACAGAGTATCGTAGAGTATTCGAACAGAGAATGGAACATTATAGAACGGAACATTAGAATAGAAAGTTCCGCTGCCAAGAACAACGTGCCGTTTCTGGGGGAGCGAGGATGATGTTCATTCGCGGGGAAAGTATTAATCAGCCCCTGCGGACGATGGCTCGAGGACGGCCGAGGAAATTCGGCTCGCGCGTGCTCGCGCCGAGGTGATTTCCTCTGATCGCCATCTCGAGTTTCTCTACCGTAAAAGTGGACCGGATCCTCGGTTCGACTTACCTCAGTATATTCGGATGGCTGAGCTTGTTCATCAGCTGAACCTCCTTCAGCATGTTCGGCCTGTTCGCCGGCAGCTGGTTCATCTTCAACACCATCACCTGACTCGTCACTTTGTGTGTAACCTGGAAACAAGAATGGACACGTGTTCAGTGCGATTTGTCGCCGATTTCCACGGTGGCCGAGCAAACACGGGACCGCTGCGTGTTTCACCGTTGACGCGCGCGGCGACCGACTTGAGCGTTTTTTTAACGGACCCCGTAGTTGTCGCGCTAAACCGTTATGGAATTGAAATGTAGTCTAATCGTCGCTCGCGACGTTGGAACACGGAGGACTTTTAAACCTTAGACACGCGAAAATCTTCCTGAGAAACGTCCATGGCGTTTCGTTTAGGAATTTATAGCAAGATACAATGACTACTGTTATCGATAACCGAATACTCGATTTCGAAACATTAAGTACCAGTATCTTATTAGCATACGAGTTTATAAATAGAAATTCGTAATGCAATCTAAATACGTAACAACTGGATTTAGATCGAGTGTCTATGTACGCGAAGGCTTCGAAATGGAATGTGAAAAGCGGCGACTTTCACTGTATTGACAAACTTCAATTTTCGATCTCCTTTTTCGATCATTGTTGCAGTACGTTTAGCATTAAATCACGAATCTAATCGAACTTTCGAACCAGTTCCATCCGAGGAAACGAGAAACTCCTGCAACCGAATCGCGGATCGTACAACGGTACGAACGCGCAATTTCTAAAATCGTCGAATCAAACCGAGCGTTCATGAAATAACAAGGATGATTCGCAACGCGTCGGTGAGTCCCTATTAGCGACAGGAAAAAATAATGATCACCGCGCGTCGTGGAACGGACGCGTGGCCGGGTGACAATCTTCGAAAAAAAAAGCGTGAAACTCATTTCGTATACCGCGAAAAGGGAATTAGAAAGTTCGCGTACACCGCGCGTGCTCGGAAATAAAATCAAAATCGAAAACGGTTCGAGATACTCTACGATGATCTACGAGCGTCAGTCAGGGTAATTGATGGTTTCCATAAAATCAATAAGGCGATCGGGGATAGCCGCGTGAAACGCGAGCCAGATATCGTGTTTTCGTGACGCGATTTCGCTTTCTCGTGTCTTCGCGTCTTACGAGGAAATCTGCATAAGTGTTACACCGACGTTTCGCCGGGCCTTCGGCGGATTATATTAACAATAACCCGACGGCTCGCGATAACCGCTTTCAAAACGAACTTTTCAGTTCCAAAAACGGCCACGATCCTATATACTTGACCCTTTGCACTCCAAACTTTGGTGCTAAGTCACCAAATGATTTGACACAACAGAACTGTAAACTTTGATACTTAATATTAAACTTTGTATAATGCATCGATGTACGAAATATCGAGAGAAAATAGTTCTCGATGCATGTGAGATTTCTTAATTCAATCTGAGAAAATGTCGTCTGTATCTCATTAGAAAATATTGAATATTACCGGTGAAAAATTTATTTTATTAGACAGAGTCTAACGGAATACTTAAAAAAAACTGCACGAACACCTCTCTAGCTAATATTTCTATTTCTTTGACACTAGATTCACAGAAATTTGCAGTCTATTCCATTATTCTCAGAAAAACTGATATTCGAGTGAAAGCACGAAGTCATCTCCGCGAAGAATGCATCTATCGACACTTCGACGAATCCACGATTCACTTTGCGTATTACCAAATCGATTTCTTCGGCGATTTCTCCGAGAGGTGGCCGTTGTCTTTCCGATAATTGCGAATAGGAACATTTACGAGCGAGTTGTCGACTCTCAGACCGCGCCGAGCGTTTCCGCGGCCACTGAAGAAACGATCTCGCCGCGGATTACGCCCGTAATTAAGCGTTCCCCTTCAACGACGACGCGCGGGAGACACGGCATCTCGATCGCGATACACCCGCGGCCGTGTTGTTCTCACAGCTCGAGCGCCGTCGCGATTCACACGACGCGAGGACTGTTATTAATGAAACGCGCGCGCGCGCGCGGGGGGAGGCCAGCGGCGCTATTCAAACGGACGACGACGATTCAGGACCGTCGATGAATCGTTTTGTTTCGCGTTGAATCGAAGACCAACGTCGGCGCGCACAATGCGCCGCGATGAATCCGCGTTGTCGCTAGGACCGCCGGCCATTCCGCGCTTCGATCCGCTCGCGTAAATAGTCCGTCCCATCGCGGCCCGTTTCTCCATGGAGTATTTATACGTGCAACGCGGTTCAGAGGTTTCGTATTCAACTCGCCCGACGTAAAGAAATCATGGATGTTCGCTGTTTCGGAAGTTGCAATGAATATTTCCGTCCCCCTGGGCAACCGTTCGAGGCAATTCGTAGAGTTACGAATAAGATTATGATTAATAAACGACGCTTCCTCTCGATAGTGCGCCGCGAGGATTCCTACGTTGAAGATTAATTAGCAAATTGACCTGTTCGAACGCTTCCTCTTCTCGGTTAGCACGTTGACTGTCGAATTAACACTCGTACAATCGAAACAACGCGTTTAACACACTGACTGCCACTTCACCTGAATACAGGTAACGCCATTTTTAACGTAATCTTGAACATTCATGTTTTTCAACTAAGTTTCATTGGATGTATGAGATATAAGGAAGATAGTAGAGTAATCGTTACGAAGAATCTTGACTCCTTAGTTTCTGGTTTATTACGAAAACTGTTTCGATTGCATGGAAGTTTTGAGGAGTATTTACTTAGCAGTCAAAGTGTTAAGGATATTGAAAATCGAAACGATTGCTCCCTAAATCTTTTTAACCTCTCTGGGACGATCTCTGATCTCCAAATGTCGCAGATTTAACAACATTCGATTCGTTCCACGTACCGTTAAGATAATTCATTCTTTAATCTATACAAAATTGATTCGCACCGTCGAATTCCAGTGATACGGCAACCAAAGTGACAAACCGAGCCGCGAGCCGATTCGCCAGCGTAGGCGGACCGCCACGGGGAATCGTCTCCGCGGTATCCATTTTTAATTCGCCGGCGAGCGGCTCGCGTAACGGGACGCCGGTGTTCGCGTCGTCCCGCACTTTTGCGAATTCCCGTGCTTCCGTAACGAGCGAGCTCTTATTCGCGCGCGTATATGCCCACAAGACACGCGGATCGCGGCGCGAAGCGTTTACCGTTACCCAGAGATTTAGGATTCACGTGGAAATCGGGTTGATCGAGCATCCGCGCGGGAAAACGATGCAAAAGGACGGCCGGACGCGGAACGGAAAAACGAGGATGAAGAGGAGCCGTGTCGCGAGATGGAAATTCCGCGGGTTAAAAAGTCGAGAATATCCGCGCGGAATCTGGCCAGGATTCCTTGGCAGTGGCTGGCTTAGTTGGGCCACGGCCAAACGATGACGAATTCGCGCCGCGGAGCCGGCGGGTAAACAGAGAGCTTGCAAATCGAGCGTTTCGCGAGAATAAAAAAGAAGAACGACAGGACGGCCCGCGGGTGGGGAAAGAAAACGAACGAACGGAGAAAGCGAAGCTAACGAGGGACTCGCTCGAATTCCGCTCGAATTCCTGTCGCGGTGTAACACGCGCCGCGGGAAAAAGTTTCTCTCTCTTCGCCTCTTTGTCCCGCGCGACCTCGTCTCTCGACCCGCTCTTTCCTTAACCCCGTCGCGAATCGAAGAGTTTCTTCGGTTTTTACTGTCATCGGATCGACGTCGCTTCGTTCGGGTGCAGTTTGATTTCGTTTGATCGTGTTTGACGTTTGGCAACTGAGTTGTGTATGATACAGGTACGGTGGAAACTGATAAACTACTTAATTCGAATAAATGTTGAGTCTATCTTGACAGGTTTATTTCGTTGTTAGTAAAATAATTCGAGGAGAAATGTATTTATCGAAGAATAGTGGTTTTGGAGAAGCTGTTTTTTATTTGGTCTCACGCGATAGGGGACACTGAGCTTTTTCGAATCAAATGGAAAACGTCCCGAGTCTCAATTGTCAATCATACGGCAGTTAATTTTAATCGAATTAAACGCTGCCATCTGTTTGTCCGTGACCAGGCGTAATGTTTCTAATTCCAATGGATTCGCCGGCCGGATCGATTCACGCCGGCTATCGAGTTTCAAGCTCTGCTCGATGAAACTCGAAGCTCCCGAGATCTCCTCTCCCCGTTGGTTTTTCTTTTTTGGAGCTGTTTATCGCAGCTTTTGTTACCGTCTATTATTATCTAACGCGTTCCGGGATTTTCGATTTCTAACAAATCCTCCGACGCTCGTTTTCAATGTTTTTCGTCGATGCTTCGCTCGCAGAAGCGGAATCGCCGGGCGATGGAGTTTGTTCTGGATTATTATTAGACTGAATTTATTACGCGGGGTGAAAGGCAAATCGTAATTAAGGAGAAGATAGCAGAAATATGAATTGAAGGAACAATGCCATTGGCCGCTGACGTCGTACAGCCATTTCGCTCTTCGTTAACATACCCGCGCCACTTCCCCGCAATTTCTGCTCTCGCCACTCTCCGTTCACAAACATTGTGAAGCCGAAGATGCATTTCAGCCGGGCGAGCGCGGCGAAGATAGGTGTCCTCTGTCGCAACGGTGGCTTTAAGCCGCGTTCCCACGTGATTTACGCGGAGCATCCGAGATTTGGCATCGCGAGCGCATTCGTCTATCTCCTGTTTCTTTGGAAAATATTTACAGATTCAATTATTCTTGTCAGAACTTGATGTTCGAAGCTTGAAATTTGAAACTTCTTTACAAGAACTCCAAGGTTCGTCTATGAAAATTTCCCTTCTAATCCAATCCGCACCAATGCAATCGCGGTAATCCAAGAGTCAAAGGTAACAGACTCAAACGCGGTTCATTGAATCCACGGAAAAGCAATAAAAAAATCAATCGAACCGATTGAGAATCGCCAAGAGAAACGCGCCGACGTTTCGCCGACGAACGCCGCCGGAAACCGAGTCGGTGTCCCCGTTAAAAGCGCGAATTCAATTTCCAAACAGCCGGCGAGCCGCGAGTCGCCGGTGTAAACAAACAGCCGTAAAATATTTTCAATTTCCCACGGGACGTGGTTTCACCGAAACGGATATTTCACGGAGTTTCACGCGGACGGGTTCCGCCGAGCGGA